CTTGTTTTGTTTGTATCTGCTATATCTACACAGTAGCAGACTTGTTTATTGTATGTCTGCTACATCCACACAGCAGCAGACTTGTTTTATTGTATATCTGCTATATTTACACAGCAGCGCCCCCAATGGCACAGCGGTATGTCTACGGACTTACAACGCTAGAATTCGGGATTCGATACCCGTGGTGGGCAGAGCACAGATAGCCCATTGTTTAGCTTTGTACTTAATTACAAACAAACCACATAGCAGCAGATCTGTTTTATTGTATATCTGCTATATCCACAAAGCAGCAGATCTGTTTTTTGTATATCTGCTATATCCACAACACAGCACTAGATCTAATTTATTGTATATCTGCTATATCCACACAGCATCAGACCTGTTTTGTTGTATATTTGCTATATCCAAACAACAGCAGACTTGTTTTATTGTATATCTGCTATATCCCCACAGGATAGGTGTAGTTTTCCAGATGTTAATGCATTTTACATAGTATTCTAAGATTGCCATACGGATATTAACGATGCTGCCATATATCAGGTTTTTCATGCCAAATATTGTTTGTGTACCTTGTGTGTTTGTTGTAAGATCTGTATTATGTACCTAGTTTTCACATAATGGTCTATAATATTTCCGCCTTAGTTTGAAACGATTGTGTAATATATGTAATAATGGGATCAGCAAACACAATTGCATTTTACCAAACAGGTTGTTACTGCAAGATTACATTTGTACGTAATAGGTTGATATTGTTGAATCAATATAAAGTAATTATGTGTTAGTTTCTTACCTGTTTTAATTTCATATTAAACAATAAGAAACTCACAAGCAGGTAGCATTACATTTTATGAAAGATACTTGTTTTTACGGTGAAATATAAGGACTATGTAACTTGCTATATACCTTCCTAAAATAATGTTTGCATACTAGTCAAGGATGAACGTTTCTCTTCATTTACATATTTAAAAAATCGTATTCAAGTTTTACATCATTCAATCGAGTTTATTCCTCATAATTTTTTTTGCATCATACAATATCGATTATTTATCAATTCATTATTAAGACACCTTGCAGCTCACCTGTCACCTTTGAAAAGTATTTTAATTTCTATTGCACTCTGTACAGCACATCTTCCAATTAATACTAATACAAAGTAGGCCATCTGTAATTGAAATAAGAGATTACCTAATTCCAACATTATATCTTAACTAATATCTACAATGAAATGCATATCATTCCCAGTAAACTTAGTACAGGATATAGTTATGACAAATGTGATCCCTCATTGTGTCAACGGTAGTTTACGCTAAAATCCTGGGTTCGACTCTTCATAGTGAGCAAAGTATAAAGAGCACGTTATGTAGCTTTTAAAAAACCAACAAACAATGATAAATGTGTTATTATCAAGTAATTAATTAAACATCTGAAATTAGAGTTAATGAAATATTTGAGTCTGGTACCTTATCAAGAATAAAATAGTATATTATTGTATACGTCTATGCCAATATATTCAGTTCTATTGTCAAATTTTAACTTATACCGCCTCAATAATTTTCATTCGATAAGTCATTCGTGCAATTGTGCTAATGGTTTTTGTAAATAAAGTTTCATACAGTCTCGTAAACAGTATTCGTATAAAGGTAAAAGTGATAATTTGTATTACGTTTTACCTGCTATATTTTTTTATATAACATGATACTCCTATGATATTTTATTCTCCAAAATGTAAATTTTCAAGTGGTAAATGTTAAATTTTATTCAGTGAAAACTGCAAGGTTTCAGTGTATAATTTCACTCTTACAACTAATACTCCAAGTCTCTGAATTCTGCTCTTTATTAGACTAATCACTTAGCTAACTGAACGTTAGCATATATTAATCACATCTGTTCTACATCACAGTTCTAATCATGTCATAAGAAATGATAAACAGTCACAACAGAGTAGCCATACATTATATTCTAATACTCTATAGATATTTGTAGTAATAATATGTAAAGTGTTATAGCTAAAGCACTGAGACTTCCTAGTAAAAATTCGAAATACCAGTACCTTGTTTGTAATTAAGTATAAAGCTATACAATGGGCTATCTGTGCTCTGCCCACCGCGGGTATCGAAACCCAGATTCTAGAGTTGTAAGTCCGCAGACATACCGCTGTGCCACTGCGGTGCCAAATAATTAGTAGAATGCTTGAAGTTTATTTCTTTTTACTTTTAAATATTAGCACAAGAAGAGTCACGCGGATGTTTACGAATCCTATATATTTTTTCGGAATGTTCTCAACCAGAAATACATAATATTTGAAACTTAAGTAAAGATAAAACCCAAAACGACACTATCATAAACTGTAGATTTATTGTAACAAAAACGTGAAATTTTAAATTTCAATGAATTCAAAACATATGGGATTTTTAACACCAGAACATCCTTATTTCCTACCTAAAAAAATAGTACTTTCTATTTTTCATATGATAAAGGCAAGTAAAGTTTATATTATCCTAATTTTAACATTTAAATATTACCGCAAACTCGTTGTTACCAATAAGCTATCGTGGCTGTTTTATTTACTTCGCTTCAAAACAATGCTGTTGGTCTACATCAAATAGCAACTTAATTTTTCTATCTTAAATTATTTATAGGTTTAACTGTACCAGCCGGAAATAAGTCGATAATCAATTAAGCTAAGAGGGTAGAGAAAAGCAACAGAAATGAAGGCTTGAATGTAGGGATTGTGGACTGATCGAGATTACAGTTTAGAAGACGTATCTTATAAAGTACATTGAAATTATAATAATATTCTTATTTGACACGCCTTTGTCGCTTCTAGTTATTAAACCTTGTGATCTTGAGATTCGAAGCACGAGATTCTCTTTATTAAGCTAACACAGTACAGCTTTCAATAACGTTTTGGTATTTGGCAACATATACAAGTTCAACAACAAAAAACTTCTCCTGAAGAAAACTTTTGAAGTTTGTCCATCGACTGTATAAAGGCAGTCTGTTGTAATTACATTTGAAAGCAGGAAGTATTTAACATAAACACAAACGATTTAAGCAGTCAATATATTAAATGAGAACAATAATAATTATGAGACTTTTATTTTGTAGAACGATTTTCTTAATAACATCGTAACTCAGGGACAAACAGTTACTTAAATATTATAAAGCCCAGCTTCACTTGTCATAAGCAAAACACCAAGATTAAAACTATTGGAGGAAT